TCCTGGGAACAGCGGGTTTGACCATCTGAAGGTAGTCTATGCTGTCTATCTTTGCTGATGCCTCTGACCGGTGGAGTCTGCATTTGCGAGTATTCAGTAGACGATTGGGTTAGTGTCCCAATGTGACTTTGCTGTGCTAGAATTTCGCCAAAAGCACCCAAAGTAAGGTCATCAACTGATGACTGAAGAAATTCCGAAATATTCCAGCCAGGAGTTGGCCATCCAATATCTTCGATCGTCAAAGCGGCAGAGTCCTGATCAACGTCCCGGGAGAGCTCGATACCATGCATAGCTGTTTCACCGCTTTCATCCAGATGTGATGTTTCGGCATGCGGGAGAATGTGTGGACCGGAAAGGCTCAAGCCCTTGTCTGAGTACTTACACTGAAGACCGCGTTCTGAGCAGCGTGAACATACGGTGGCAAGATCGCAACGTGCCTTGGCCGCTCGGCATGGAACGCATGATTTCTTTCTCGATATAGGCATGACTCTCCTTCTCCGCCCAGCTGCGGGGACATGTCTTGGAATTCCAGTCGGAATATAGAGAATTTTAGATTTGTAGGTATATGCGTAGATGAGTCTGGCATTAAGAAATCACAGAAGTGGTGAGAATGGAGGGGTGCTTACCTCAGCTCCGGCCGGAGTTCAAGTGGGTCCGGAGATGTTTCACGTACACATTTCATAAAGTAAGCTATGGAAGTTATATACATGGGATTATATTTATCTATGCTATGTAGCAGAGAGTATTAGGCTTAAAGAATGAGCGAGTGCTAATAGTTTCATGCTGAAGATGGCGTTTGTTTTGATTGGGAGACTAATGGAGGCACTACAAAATCGAATAACAAGCCGTAGCCCGCGGGTTCGATTATAGCGGTTTGGGGTTCAGAGAATAGTGGACCTGTTCGCGAATTACACTCCTGTGTAAAATGCCAGGGTCTATTCAGAACGCCCAGAGTAGCCTTCAAAAAGAAAGGTATGTCAACCAGCTTGCTCGATATCAAAATATTTTTCTTGGATCTTCAGGCCCAAGTATACAGGTTTTAGAAACTGTTACATTAGATGGCATATTTGAATATCCTTAAGAAGGTGAACCACAAGGACTAATAGAACCAGATCCGGAGGCAGACGATACCGCTTACGAGGACGAGTCGGTTGAAGCCGACAGATTCGAGCGAGAGCAGGAATACATAGAGCACCTGAACGATGCGTATGAGGCAGACCCAGATCCATATGATGAATGGAATCCTGGGTTCATGAAAAGGAGGTCTATAAAACTGTTCACTCTTTGTTCCACCGTCATCAGACTTGTCGTAGCACCACACAAAATCACTTAACCTAACTCGGCTCCCGTCAACGTTCCAGCTTCCTACAGAATCCAGCACTCCTGTAACAATACCCTTCTCGCTTCCTAGTCAGAAGTCAAGTCATACAATATCATTTAATACAAATAAGAGTATAATAACAAATAAAACGACGTTAGTAATAACAGAAACATCGACGATAGCATCGATTCCCTTATGCAGTATGCAAAATGCCGACCCTGACCAGAGCATTGCTTCAGCAGAATGTATCTGTGAGAGATCCATCACTTTGCCACTTATTTCAGCGCCCAAAATGGCTCTTGCGACTATGAGCTGTGCTTACACAGCTCTTCCTACTGGAGCGCTACTTCGGCTATCAGACGCAAAGCCCACTCTAGAACAACCAAAACCCAACTCTTTATTATGCCAGGTTAGTTCTACTCTTCTATTTATCCCCCCACCCCAAGACTAAAAGTCAATGACGTTAAATTTAAGTATATTTGTACCCCAGTTGTCAATAATGAGGACTCATGTACATCAATGAAAGGTTGTACTGTCCAGTCTGCACGTGCGAGTGTGACCGCAGGCTCAAACCCTGCCAATGGTAAGGATATCCCGGTCTCCAGATGCTCCCTCTTAAACCCTGGAAGATGACTCGAACATCATCAAATATTTGGAACTCTAACCGGCGGAGCACTTTATACTTCAGTTTCAAGTGCATTGGAGTTACTATGTCCTACAGCTGCATAAGGGGCTGTCGGTTCATGTGCAACGGCCAGTCAAGTTGTCTCGAAAGATGTCGCATACGTCACCAACAAGGCGATAGAGAAAAACGGCGAAATTATTATAGGTATTGAATCCAGCAGTTACAACCTAAAATTCTTTCGAGACGCCATGATCAACAGCATTACAGCATCTTTCCAGCAAGGTGCCACAGGCGCGAATTTCTCCGACGCATCATATCAAACCGAAGTGTTGCTAGTGAAACGGAGCATCAATTTCCTCGAGACGTTCGCTACTCGACTGTTCAAGAAGTTCGATATACCTGACGCCTATATCGTAGACAAAAGCGTAAGGCTTTGTAGCACCAACTGATTCCAGACGTCGAATTACTATAATATCTTCTGGCATACGGATGATATTACCCCTCCTTCGGCTTGTGGGAGTGCAGATCTCACCTTTAAAGCTGCACCGCCTGGGGGTGAGTTTGTTTGCGAGCTGATCGATGGTCTTATGGATGCATTTGCTATCATTGAACCGGAATTTGCTGTAGAAGATCTTGAGCTCAAAGGAGCGATTAGCTTTATATGTGGTGATCAAACCGGCTTGAATTAGCTCTTGGTCTATTATTTATATCTTATGAAAAGCTATTTGTAATTATATTTTCAAGGGCATATGGACGAACATGAGGCGATTAGATAGGAGCAAATTCAAGAGTTCTTCACTGGGACCAGATGTTTTAGACAACGTCTTTTATTACTAGTATCAAATTTATTATTAATGCGCAGAAACGACCTAAATGAAGATAAACACTTACTTTATAGTAGTTACTCAGAATCTAAGGCAGACTTCTACCTTAGCGCTATTATCCACTTGGTTAAGTTGCAACTCTAATGATAATGCCAGCTCTCCCAATACCCAGGAAAGAAAAGATAGAACATTACCGCTTTCTTTTTGACTTTTGGTTTTCCAGGCCATAAGAACTCCAGTTCCAAACGCCTAGAAAGAAAAGGTGACATTTACGATCTCTTTTTTTCTTCTGTTTTTATAAAAAAGAAAATGCATAAGAAACTCCAGTACTCCGGACGCCGAGAAAAGAAAAAAACAAAAACTTACCTCTGCTTTTTTCGGTTTTCAACTCCATCTATCCTACCTCCTAGCTCTCCTTTCTCAATTTCCTGGTGAGGGTTGAGGGATTGGCTCTGGAGATGGTGCTCCTTCCCTGTCTTCCCGCTCGTAGGAGTTGACGAAAACTGACAGCTCGGTGTGGGCAGCCATTTTTTGGATTGCTTTAGGTTTAGTTTGGTTTGGTTCGACTTAGGTATATAAGCTTTGGTGATTGTGTTGGGGATGTGGAAGTGGGTTTGAGTTTGTGTTTGGATGTGATGAAATATATATTAGGAGGAAAGGCTGTATGCTTTTATATTCAAACAAACTGCATTGTTATATGTCCATTCTGTCTTCTCAAATATTAATGGGTTCTAATTGCCCGCTATTCTTAGAGAAAGGATGATTAGAAACTCCCTGCTTTGTATCCTTTGTATTGACACACTATTCGGCTGTTCGTTCTTTGTCGGAGTGGATGTGTTCCTTCCGCAAATTCAAAGAATTGAATACTACCATACGAATGTGAGAGCTGAATATGAAACCCTTGTATATCTTCAAAGAAATTACTAGATATTATTCAGCCGTGTATTAGGGCTTCAAAACTTAAATCGAGCCGAATCGCTTTGAGCGACTGGGTGCTATGATTTAGTATGATATCTTTGTAATAGAAAAAAAAAAACCTTCCTAGTACACTTGGTACACATCATACATGAATCGCACATAAGTCTTCTAGCAAGGAGTTCTGTTCTCCGAACACATAAAGTCAATGAGAAGGAGAAATCGTCCATGCCCATGCTTCTCCCTCGCGTAAAAACCCCGCTCCTTAAAGGGGGGCTGAAGTTGCATTGCCGGCTGGTGGTGGCGCCCGTAACTTGGTGTGAAACTAATGTAATCCGGCAGTTCCGATCGACTTCTCTCTTTCTGGAAGGTCAATCAATCCCTTCACTGTAACTCAGATTCAGGCACAGGTACAGTACCACCGTAACTATGATCCAGAATGTAGATAACGGTAGTGTACTATGAATTCTTACTATATTCTCGACATCTATGGGCCATGTCGGTCAAGCTTATCATATCTGTATATTTTCAATAAGTGGACATCGGCACTGGCACGGCGCACGCCGCACGCCGCACATCGTAGCTCTAGCCATTCACAGTTTAGGATTGATTTAGGGGATCTCGGCAGGCAGTCAGTGTTGACTGAAGAGGTTGCGATTAGGAAGGTACTTCGCTTTCCTGTTTCGACTGCATATTGGAGTGAGATGTTCATTTACCGAATGAAGCGGCCCAGCTATCAAACAATCAACTTCAGACCGCCAGGCTTCCAAGACATGTACTTCGGGAAGCACCAAAAAGCTTGTTTTCTTCCACCTCAATTAAGGCTGCATACTGCTTTGGTTGGCCTTCCTAAATCGTGGGAACTTTCCACTTGTATTCCTTCTGGAAGCCATTTCCAGTGGGTCAGTCGACTCAGTCAGCCGATTGTCTGAAGATGGATACCACAGACTTAGGAGAAGGTTGAGAGTATAAAGCCTGCTTGATATCTTCTCTTGGCACATAGAAGGAGACATCAAGAAAAACGCCAAGACAATAATTGCGCTGTTCAAGATGAAGACTCAAGCTGCAGCTTCGATTTTCTTTCTCGCTACCTCCCTTCCCTCGGCTTTGGGCTGGGGCACTCTTGGTCATCAGACTGTCGCTTATATTGCTACAAACTTTGGTAAGTGGGCTAGCATTCAATATAACTGCCATTGAAAGACGACTGTGATGGCACCGTGTGCTGATATATCGGGATAGTTTCAAGTGCAACGAAAACCAAATTCCAAAGCATTTTGGGGGACACCAGCGCCAACTACCTTGCCACAGTTTCAACATGGGTATAATTATTCCCTCATCCGCTTTCTTACTTGGTATTGATATATTCTTGCAGGCTGATACTTATCGCTACACCGATGCCGGGACATGGTCAGCACCGCTTCATTTCATTGATGCCAACGATGACCCCCCATCCAGCTGCGGGGTAGAATACTCCCGTGACTGTGGAACTGGAGGTTGCGTGGTTAGCGCTATCAAGAACTATGTACGATCAATGGAAATGACCAAACAAGAATTCATCTAATGAGTAAAACAGACCTCGCGTGTTCAGAGTTCCTCATTGAGCGATGCAGACGTGGCGATGGCTGCAAAGGTAAGCACGACCAAATCCTGGTTACTTGCTTTAAAGCTAACAAACTCCAGTTCCTTGTCCATGTAAGTTGGAAACCCTTCCAGCAGATGTTCACGGGTCTCTTTTCGAATGAGCGGCAATCAGATACCCTCAATTATCGTGGAGGCACGTGGACTGTGGCGGCCAAAAGGCTTCTCTTAACCTTGTGTCTCCCTTCATGGTCGTGGAAACATGCGATCTAGTCGGGCACTGTACTTATCAGATGAATCTATTCAGTTTATTGGAGACATCCACCAACCTCTTCATGACGAGGGCCTCGACTTGGGAGGAAACGAAATCGATGTAACCTTCGGCGGAGAATCCACCAATCTCCACCACATCGTCAGTGCCACCTGTTCCCTCTTCCCTCTTCCCAGAAAACCCCCAGCAACCCAACCCCCCAACATCCGTCCATTTCCAATCCAAAAAGAAAACCATCCTCTGACATACTAGCAGTGGGACACCAACATCCCCGAGAAATACGTTGGTGGATATGCGCTCTCTGACGCCAAGTCCTTCGCCGCAACCCTCACCACCTCGATCAAAACTGGGTCCTATGAATCCGAAAAAGCGTCCTGGCTCGATGGCATTGATCTATCCGATCCAGTGACCTCGGCTACGAGTTGGGCTTCGGAGGCCAATGCTTATGTCTGCAGCACGGTCATGCCTGATGGGATATCTGCAGTCGAAAAGACGGATCTTTCGGGTACTTACTATACGAAGGCTATTCCGGTTGTTGAGTTGCAGATTGCAAAGGCGGGATATAGGTATGTCTGACTATTAATTTGATTGGCCTATGATAATGTAGTATGTATGCTGATGTGATGCTTTTAGGTTGGCGGCTTGGTTGGATCTTATTACTAGCGGCAGTACTGGACTTTGAAGATTATCTAGTAATTTGAGCTGAAATATGATGAGGGGTTCCACTTTAGGTGGTCCGGGAAGGGTTATGTTGGTAACATGCTGCTGTGAAGAAATGTACTTATATCTATTTACCGGAAACAAACCTTGATTTTGATATTTTATCATCTGAACTCTTAAAAACTTACGTTGAAACCCGTCGGAAAGTAAACCTACTTATGGTAGCAAGATTTTGCTCTCTGGTCTGATAGTCTTAAATTGGAAATATTGGATTTTGCGAGCACCAAGTATAGATTACTTCGGGGAATATCCTGTGGCATCTAGTGGTTTTGATCCAAAAGAGGAATTGAGAGAGTCGAGTGCAACTCTTACTTCATATCAATCAGAGTATAATTTCGCCTCACTCATTGTCCATCCGCACTTACCGCCGATCCTGCACCGCCACTTCCACCTCCTCCTTCAATCTGGAACACCCCACCAGTATTGACGCCCGAGAACCAAGCACGAGGATCCCCGTGCTGCACAAACAAAAGCGCTAGAAAGCCACACACCACGACAAACCCAACCATCACCATCGCAGCAAGAGCAAGACCCGTCGGTCGCTGCCTCTCCACGCCAGATGCAGACCCATCCCCTCCCAACGTCCGTCCCGGCCCGAACCTCTTCCACGACAAATCCAAGCCCCACGCCGCCTCCTTGGCAACCCCCGGCATATTCGCCGTGCCATACGGCCTCTCCACCATAGTCTGGATCCCAAAAACCCTCTTCACCAGCCCCGGCGACGAGATCAGATTCCTCTTGATGCCGAAGTTTGGATACAGGCCCGAGAGGAAGTCATATAGATGGGCGGCGCCGACACCCGTGGCTTGGATCATGGCTGCTTGCGGGGAGCTGACGATGAGGGTTAGGAAGAGGAGGGCGTAGGGGAAGTATTGGGAGGGCATCTTGAGGACGAAGAGGGTCATGGGTTGGTCCCAGGTGTCGCGAGTGGTACTGGTGATGAAGCAGAGGGCGAGGGGGGAAGCGAAGACATTTCCGTAGACGATGAGGATGTTTAGGAGCTATGCGCTTGTTAGATTTTGTCTGGACGTCTGATGCGCCTTTGCGGAAAGTCGTAAATGGTCTGGACATCTAATAGACTTTAGGGGAGACTCGGAGCCTGGTGGTAGCCTCCTCTGCTCACGTCTCTGGACATCAAGCCAAATGAGACTTTGAGACTATGATGAGATCGAAAGCAGAAAAGAAGGAACAAAGAAAGAAAGGAACATAAAAACATATCAACTCACCAAGATCAATACCGAACAAAAACATATATAAGTGAAAAAGTCCGCTCGCTGGGAAAATCGAGGTGAGGCAATTTCAAGCTTAGAGCCATAAGTATACACTACTCCATATCAGCCTATTTTTTCATCTGCCTAACGTCCCATCACGAAACTTACAAAAATACGTGTCAAATAAAATCCCAAAATTTGGCCACGTGATAAAGAGAGATGTAAAAATTCGCCAGAGCTCTGGCGGAAGCTTGATGAGCGACGGCAGCTGGAGGTTGAAGAGGGAGAAGTCGAAGGGTCCTACGTAGACCAGAACAGACAGTGTGAACGTTATGGCGGCTAGTGTTCTATGGTATATTAGTGAAGAGGGGTGAGGCAGGTGGAGGGTTTATACCGGGAGATTGGGGGCGCATGCATGAAGATTTCAAGGGGCGACATTTTGGATGTAGAGGTGTACGACTGTCAACAGCCTATACAGTGTGTACTGCCTTTTATGTGTTTATATAAACAATCGAATGGTCCCTTGTTAAGATGGTGGTTGTTATTATGTTGGCTTTGGATGTTGGTGTGTCGGAAAAGGGGCACAGTCGCCAAGATAGCCTCAACAGGGGAGGTGTATTGGCTTTGACCGTAGACGCAAGAGCTGGCCCGATTAATCGAGTTTAAAGCCAATATTAGCTACCTATGAGAGCAATACATATATGAGGGGAATAATAGATGTGCTCAATTATTCCCATGGCAGAGCTGGGCTATACTAGCTTCCTTGATAACGAAGATCACGTGATGATCCACGAACTCCGCTGTGACTTTTCATATTGAGTTATGAATACCTCTATTTGTACTTATTCCCATTGCTAGCTAATAATTACCTTTATAGGTGTTAAGCAACTTTTAAGTGAGTCTAACTTAAAAGAATTAAAAAGATTATGAACATTATAAAAGGGAGGTAACAATATCATTTAGATGTCTTTACATTACTATGGTACTATGTAAACTTCGTAACTAGCGACCTAAGACCATGAGTCCATTACTAGGTGCCCATTCAAGAGACTAACTTTCGGAAACTCATAAGCTCTGGTTGAATGGTGTTTAGTTCATTTGACAATACATAGAAGTAAGTGCTACGGGAAGAACAGGTGCAAAGTCCTACTGTACCAACATGAGGATTGGATTGCCATTCTTGATAGCCCGGGCCGTCCACACCGACACAGTGAGTAGGCCAAGAGCCAATGACCCTGGCCAAAACGTTTCTCCTAAAATTACAACGCCTCCTCAAGCTACCTAGAAGTATGCCATCTCTAGGATCTACCAAAGTTCGTGCCAAGGCCTACCAGATTGTGATCTCTCGGTGGATTATTGAGTCTCTCGTTCGATCCAAGTATGTGCTACCAATATTCTACTGCGACACAGGCTTCATCAGCCATAGCTCCAACTTTGCTTTGTCGCTTTGGTCATACAATCATAAGTTTGAAACGATTTAGCTTCTTAGATAGTGTACTACGCTCTCCGCAGTTGTAGCTTGAGTTAAAGTCAGGAAATACTGGTCAAAATTGGGTTAGTGTCAACATTTGAGGCGTGATAAAGATAATAATCCCGCGTAAGGAAAGCGCTGGGGTCGAGGTTTAGGGATGGTGTCTCAAAACCGTATCATAACATTGAGCCGATTTGGAAGGAAAGGAGTGATGGAGTTCAAGCATGAAGACTGTTCATCAATGATATGATTTTAGAAGATGATGACCTCGCAAGATTGTCTTGTCATTGAGGACAAGAGGCATTGTGAAAGATGAGGCGCTGGCTATTCATAAACCTACTTGACAAGAGTCTAAGCGTATAAGAGAAAAAGAAGAAGGGTTCTTACTGTACTCCGGCCAAAGCGGTAATTAAAGCTTCTCGTTGAATGTTTAATCTTGAACAGAAACAATTGTAAAATGGAAACCTTTTAGAAAGGGGTTCAGGGGTTATCGAGCAAGTCACGTGGAAATCTCGGAGCTTCCTAAAATAGACACGAACGGACCTAATTTCTCCAGTTTTGACGAGTTGACAGCAGTGCGAGTGGGAGTGGAGTGTAGTGTGTGCGTACTCTAGACCTCGATGTGTGCCGATATTATCGACATCTGGACCTTTTCTTCTTCCCTCCTGAAAATAAAAATAAAATAATAATAAACTTTCCGACCCCCGACCTTTACGAAGCACTCCTTTCTTGTCTTCAACCTTCAATTCCCTTCTACTGTACATCATCTTCCCAGGTACTCTGTGCCAATTACGCTCGTTAGCAGCCCATTCTACGCCTACACCTTCTCCTTTCTTCAACGCGAATCCGACGCCCCTGTACGTGCGTGAGTGAGGATCTATCTATCAGACCAGATCTGCGGCCCCCCACGAATACGGAAAATCCACGATAAAGACGACAACAACAACAACAACAACAACAACAAAACAGGATTGAACATCACATCACCTACCTCCACCATAGCCGCTTTGTTCTTCCCAGTGCGCGCGGCGAGATCTGGACAGTCAAGTGGATGAGACAGAGACACATAGAGCCCACCAGGACGACGTAATGGCTGCGGACTACAGATTAAAGTCGAATCTGGGGAGATGGCTTCTATTCGTACTGGCCTTCTCCTACGCAGAAGCTTTCTACATACCGGGTAATTTTGCCAGAGGATACACGCACGGGAAAAGAGCTAACAAGCTGCAGGCTGGTCCATCAAGAGCTACAAAGACAACGAAGCAATACCTCTCCTAGTTAACAAGGTCTACTCGGACAATACACAATTGCAATACGCATACTACGACCTCCCATTCGTTTGCCCTCCTACCGGTGTCCATCATGCCGGCTCCTCGCTTCTCAGTGGTCAGAGTATTTCTTTGAACCTCGGGGAAGTCCTCCGCGGCGACCGGATCACACAATCAGACATCGAGTTGGTGATGGGTCAAGATCAAGAATGCAACTTCCTCTGTACCAAATCAGTCAGCCGAAAGGATCTCAAACGGGCTCGGGAAATGGTCAAGGACGGCTATGTGGTAGAATGGATCGTGGATAATCTGCCCGGAGCCACCAGCTTCATCACGGTGGACAAGTCAAAGAGATACTACGCTGCAGGTTTCAAGTTGGGATACAAGGACATCGCGCCTACCTCTGGCAAAATGCGATACTATATCAACAACCACTTTACAATCGTCATTCGCTATCGTAAAGCCCCCGGCAAGGACGGAGAAAGGGGTGGGAAGGTCGTGGTTGGATTTGAAGTCTACACGAAGAGCATTGGCCCGAACAAGAGGATAGAGTCTAGGTGTCCAGCAGATGTAAGTGATGTCGACACCGCTATGGAACTCTACCTCCATCCGAACGGAACCGACTTCGCCCTGCAGTACCCTCACTCCTCCTACCAACCCCCTGAAAGCGAACAGGATATTGAAGATGGAGCTATGCTCGACATTCCGTACTCATACTCTGTATACTGGCGCGAGGACGAGAAGATTGAGTGGGGACATCGCTGGGATTTATATTTCGTAAACCAGGAGGAAGGGTCGAGAATCCATTGGCTTGCAATCATCAACTCGTTGATCATCTCTGGGTCCTTGAGTGCAATTGTGGCCATCATCCTAGGTCGAACAATCCGCGGAGATATCAAGACATACAAGGACTCGAGCCTCGAAGATGGTAAGAGTAAGCCAAAGAGGAGGTCTAGGCCTGGAAGTGGTGCGAGAACGCCAAAGTCTGGAGAGAAGACTGGCACTGGATTACTCGATCAAGTTGGGGATACGGAGAACGATGCGGATGTCTCATCTGACGAGGAGGCATTGGAAGATGTGACCGGATGGAAGCTTCTGCATGGCGATGTCTTTAGATCCCCGTCATACGGTTACCTCCTTGCACCACTCGTTGGCTCCGGAATGCAGCTCGTATTTATGGCTGTTGGACTTCTCTTCCTCAGCAGTTTGGGGATTCTCAACCCTAGCTTCCGCGGTGGGTTTGTCAGCGTAGGAGTTGGACTGTTTGTCTTTGCAGGCGTCTTCTCAGGCTACTTTTCCGGACGAGTGTATAAAACATTCGGTGGCAAGAACTGGCGCAAGAACACAATCATCACAGCAACTCTCTTCCCAGGTCTTTTATTTGCCCTTGTATTCGTCCTGAACCTCTTCGTCTGGGCCCAAGCTTCCAGCACCGCGCTTCCATTCGGGACATTGGTCGGCATTATCATGTTATGGCTTTGCATTCAGCTCCCTCTGGTGTATGCCGGATCATGGTACGGATGGGTCCGCACAGGAGCATGGGAACACCCGACGAAAACAACGTCCATCCCCCGCCAAATCCCAATCCAGCCATGGTACATCCGCTCACCGCAGTCAATTTTGCTCGCCGGTCTGATCCCTTTCGCCGTGATCTTTATCGAGCTACTCTTCGTCTTCCAATCAGTTTGGCAGGATAAGAGCGGATATTACTACGTCTTTGGCTTTCTATCTGTTGTCTCCATTATCCTGATCCTGACCATCGCCGAAGTTACCATCGTCACCATATACATCAAATTATGCAGCGAGGATTACAATTGGTGGTGGCATTCCTTCTTGGTAGGGGGTGGTAGCGCCGTTTGGGTGTTTTTGTATTGTGTGTGGTACTATTTGACCAAGCTGCATATAGAGGGGTTCGTGAGTGGTTTGTTATTCTTTAGTTATAGTTTTATGGCTTGTGTTGTTTATGGTTTACTTTGTGGGACGGTGGGGTTCTTGACGGCATATGCTTTTGTTAGGAGGATATATGCGTAAGTTTTACCCCCTCCTTATTTAGTTCTTTGGGGTCTCGACTCGAGGACATCTGCTGACTTGAAAACAGCGCCATAAAAGCTGATTGATGAGGAAAGGAAGGGCAAACGGGATGGACTTAATTGGCATGCACCATCATTTGGCGTAATTGTAAACCGGAAAGTGGAAATCCATCCACGTATTTAATTGAAAAATATATACATATACAAACTTAAGCAAGACTAGATCCTCATAAACTCCATATCCTTCCTTGCCCCACCCAACGCCAGAACTCCACCCATGTTGAACTGGGCATTACCCTACATTACCACGGAATAACCACACTCCTCCTCTCCTCCTCCCCACTCAAACTCCCCTTGACTGGCTGCAAACAAGACACGCTAGCCTCACGCCTCACATCATCAAACCCCATCCTTATACACCTCGCCATAGCCTCCTCCGCTACAAACTCTCCCTCCCCACCTTCACTTCCCTCATCCTCAATCTCCGCCAGCCAGCGCATGACCTTCCCGACCACCACTCCATCCCATACGCCCTCCTTCCGCGGACTGCGCAGCAGCAGCTCAATTGCTTCCCGGCGCAACGTGCGGTGTCGGTAGATCCATCCGACCGTGAGCAGCGGGACGATAATCTGCATATCGAACGTCCAGCCCCCACGTCCACCTTTCCCCTTTACATGCTCCCTATTCTTCTCCCTTTCCTGCTCATCCAACAACAGCCTCGCAATCCCCACAAGCTCCTGCAGCAAAATCGTATATTTGCTGTGATTCACCAGCGCGCTACGGCTATTGTTACTATCGATGGACATGTAGCCCGCCAGCCAATGCAGGCGCAGCGTCGACGCAAGGATAAACGTTTCGTGCGGCGCGGAGCGCGAGCGCGCGTGGTTGAGTAGGGGGCAGAAAGCTGCGTCCCAGCGTTCGTATTCTGATAGTGTGGTGAGGCGTTCGGCAAATGTGGAATCGACGTCGAAAAATAAATTGCCCTGTCCTGGAGCGCCGTCTCCTTCACCTTGTACATCCCCAGAAGCAGAACCAGGGCCGGATTCAGGACCAGTGGCAAATATGTGTAGATGCATAGTGCTGCGGAGCCAGTGCATGCTTCTCCGGATTACTATCTCGAGTACCGAGCGCGCGGACGCAAGGTCGGTGAATATACTGCTCATGTCGTCCACGGCCGCTTGGCCTATGCGGCGGTATGCCTCGTGTGCTTCTCTGGTGCGGCCGTCTGCGTAGAGCATGACTTGTATCTCTAAGCCGCCAAAGGCACGCATGATATCATTTTCAACTTGCACCAGATCCTCCCCTCCTGTTCCTTCACTTCCATCTCTAATCTTCCCCTGCTCACCAGCCCCGTAAAACCCACTCGCCCACTCCCGAATCAACCTCAACCCAGCATAAACCTGCGAAACACCACCACCACCACCCCCTTCCTGCAGCTCCGGCACACCCATCCCCATACTCTCAAAACAATAAAACAGTAGACTCGCCACAAGAGTCGTCCTAAGATCATGTTTCCCGCCCGCAACATCCCTTCTTAGATAGCACAGCGCCTTGCTGTACTGCCGAAACGCGAATTGGTGCCTCAATGTCCCCACACCGTTTTCGCCGTTTATATTGTTCTCGCTCGCGTGCCAGCCCAAGCCCGAGCTCGGTTCTTGCAGATTCAACCCCCCGAGCGCGATGACGGCGCCGCGGATCGCGGGCGAGGTTTCGCAGGCGCGGTGCATGAGGGATGTCCAGAGGGAGGGCGTGAAGGAACTCGAGTCCGAACTCAAATTCGAATTCGCATTGGCAAGGTGCTGCGAGGTGGTTGCACAGAACTGCGTAAAGGCGTGGTGTTCGTGCGGGGTGCTGAAGAGTTGTTGTGTTGTTGTCTGTGCCAGCAGTGGAGGCGCGGGGTAGAGCTTGGGCTGTTTATTCGTATTCTCCTTCACTTCCCTCTCTTCTGTACTATTTGATCCGGCGTGTACTTGCGCCTGTGCCTGTGCTTGAGCTTCTGCTTGCGCAAGTATGGAGAGGGATCCGGACGAGGATTTCGGGACCAGGAGACGCGAATTGGACGACGAGCCTGCGCAGGGTTTGGAGGTGGGACGCGGGAGATAGCCATCGCACTGATGGCCGAATTTCAGACAGCGGAGGCAATTTGGTTTTGTTTCGTCGCATTTGACTCTCCGTATCCTGTTTGCCCCCAATTTCAAATTAGCAATGTTGTGATATGTTATGTTGTGTTCTTATCGTAAGTGTGTTTGTGTGTTTGCGTGTGTGAAGATATAAATGACGAGGGCAGGCCTGCGGGAGTGCTTGATAGTGATAAGGATAAAACAGAACAAACGTACTTGCAAGTTTGACAGCCCGTTTTAACTTTGGGCTTACTAGCCCTCGTCTTCCTGGTCCGGACATCTGCCCCAGGAGACGACATATCCAGTATGCGTTCTGTCATGTTGATTGCTGGGCCTTTCCTCTCTTCCTTTCTCTGCAAGTCAATCCCCAATTACACATCAGCTCGAATGGCGAAACAGAAGAACAAAATCACAAGAGCGTGCGTCTGGGCCGGGAGCACCAGGTACATGTACTAATCAACTTACGGAGCACTCTCGTAAATCCCATACCCTGCCCTGTCCTGTCCACGGAACACGATCGAATCACCAGCCTTCTTGTCTCGTCCGTCTCGGTGCGGTGCTCGCTCGCAAACAGCTACCGTACAAGCTATAGCACAGCGCCCACGCACCCACCACCACTCGTACCACCTGCCCTAGGCACCGCACCCCCACCGTAAGCTTTTCACGTTGGTAGGCAGGGCCCAAGGTACGGCATACAGCTCGTACTTACTTCGTACAGGACGGCGTGTGGAGTAAGCGCTAGAGCCACCCTCCGGTCACTGACCCAATAAACGCTATCTTCTCGTATACGCCAGTCTTTTAGCATCAACTCTCCTACCAGTCTGCGGTCAGAGCGTGGGCGATCTCCCTTTTGGTCACTACTCGTACCCGCGAACTACCAAGTACGACCGTCGACTGCGTGGTTCGTATAGTCTTTCGGGGGTGGCTTACGCTTACTTGAGGCTGAGCTAACTACTGTAGGATAATGTGAAGGACCGATATACGAGATTGGAGATTCCATTCGATGAAAACACGAGAGGAAGTGTGAGTGAGGAAGTAGTAAAATGGAAAGATGAGATAGATAAGAAATGACACTGCTGCACGTGATGTACAAGGTGCAGCTGCAGCTAAAGCATGCCTGTTTCAGGAAGTCCGAGGAGCAACCAATTATCATTGGTGTACTGTACGTACGAGTTGCATACAATGTACGTATTGATTCCTGCTCGTAAATAGCAGCAAACCCCACCGAGCAACGCTGAAATTATTGTACGTAACTTCGTACGGAGATACTGTAACTCGTAGAAATCAGCCGCCATGCAGTGTCAGCAACTCCAGTTATCCCGACCCGACCCCGACCCCAACCCCAACCCCAACCTACTCGAAACGCCCAACCGACACCCCGAAAGCAACTTTTTACGAGCAAGCAAATGAGACTTTACGCCGCGGTGCCATGATCTGGCTCCTGCTCGTCCTGCTCGACCTGTTCTTCATCAGCACCTGGACGGCAGCAACAACCATATTTCTCCCTAAACTCCATCGATGGCAAACCCTTTAGAATTTCCAGCGCCTTCTTTGCAGCGGCTACTTTTGAATATCTGGCACTCCCGGCCTGCGCATCTGCAATGATCCGATCATGAATCATAACCATGGCCATATTACCGGGCTTGCTTCCATCGACGCTTTTGACTTCCTTGGCCATGATTGTCCAATCCATGCAGCCCATGTTAACCTGGAGGAAATTGGCGAGGAAAGTGGCCGGGTGTTTGTTGGCGTATGTATCGTAGATACTCATGTCGGTGAAATATGGCTTGATATGCTCGTCGAAAAAGCGCTCGATCTCTGCATAATTGTACTCCGAGTCCACGAAGAGAGCGCCGACATATGCCTCGACGATATCCGGGAGACACTTAGGAGGCTGGCGAACACTGATCCAGTAATCAGGAGAGAATTCGGCTGCCGTCTTACCAGCGTGGATTGCATCTTCCTCGGCTTGTTTACGAGCCTCAGTAATTTCGGTGACATAATCACTGATTTGCTTCTGGAAGCTAGCATTGAAGAGCAGTAAATGACGGTGGAAACCCAAGCTGACGCAAAGAGCACCCAAATACTGATTCGAAACCATTGCCATCTTGTGCTCAGTCAACCACTGTGGATCCTTGCCGGGATAGTTGTGGAAGAGAAAATTGATACAAGCCATATCTAGCAATGCGTCGCCCAAGAATTCGAGTCGTTGGTAGCTCGGGATTTGTTCGTAGGAAAATGGGTAAGACGGGTGGACAAACGCAGACCCAAGAACTCGCGGCCAGCGGAAATGGTAATTGTGTTCCTTCTCGACTTGCCGAGCAAGATCCTTTTGTGATTCGGTGGCCACCTGCATCTGATATTTCGGCTTCTCATATAGCGTGTAGTACTGGCTATATGAGCTGATGTTGTGATTCTCGCTCGATACCAATTCAGTAACAGCTCGAACAGCATTATCCATATCTCCGGATTCATAGCAAGTCAACAGCGCCGCGCCGATGAAAGCCTCACAAACATCTGCAATTGTCTTGTCACCAAGCTTTTGGGTGTTGGGGGCCGTCGCAGTTTTTCCTTTCTTTAGAACTAGGCCCTCAGGGTACCAAGCACGACGGTTGAAGCTCTGGGAGCGAATGTACTCGTAGAGCTTGATTTTAAAGGCGTTGTTCTTCAGATTCTTGTTGCAAATCAAGAGCATACGATCCACATGGTACTCATACTCATCGTGGCCAGGATGGATTCCGTATAGAGCTATCGTAGTTGCCATCTTTAGGAAACAATCTCCGAGAAACTCTAGTCGCTCATAATTGTTGCCCATTCCCCTCTGGAAATTAAACTTCTCTGCACTATGCTCATCCGTGTTATCAGAGTCCTTAGTGACTGCCTCTAGTGCAAGATCGGGGCGAATCTTGAGATGAAGCAAATCACAAGCTTCCAAGGCAATAAGATATGACTCAGTTCGATGGATGATGGCGGGGAGGAGATTGGCCATGAATACAATTGTACTTGGAATCTGAAATAATTAGCTTTGTTTGGTTCTGGGCAGGAGACATTCCGCTTACCGGGGAAACCTTCAGAGTCTCAAGAGTAACGAAGCATTTGTCCGATGCCTGCGATTCGGATATGCTAAATTCGTCTAGCAGGTTACGACGCAGAGAAATGACTTCGGCCGCAAACACACGCTGATTCTCATCAAGTACTCTACGAGCTCTTGCTTTCTCCCAAAGACTGCAACTATACTCCATGATATTGTCGTGAGGTCTCCCCTTTCTGGCCTTACGCGGAGCAGTATTTGACGGGACGGGATCTGTGGCCTTGTACTCTCGAGTCACCCCCTTCAACCAGAGCTTCCGAGAACCATCAAAGGGATCAGTGACGAATTTGTCTTCGAAAAATTCATCGGGCTCGGTCTGCCACGGCTTCATCTTCTCCCATCCCTTATCCTCCCAAAGAGTAGAGTGGTCTTCAATGATCTTCAGGATATCCCATGCGATCAGACTAAATGGCTCCTGTTCACGATCAAAACTGGCACGTTGGTTGACGGGTGCTAAGAAATAGGGCATCTTTGCAACATCTGACTCATACTCCTTACTAAACACATCATCAAAGATGCACAGAGTAAATTTATTGACTTGGCTGATGATTGCGGGATCCACTTGGATACAGCTGCGGAGAGAAGTGAGCTGGACGGGCGAGTTTCTACCTTGACCGAAATGTAGGACAAATGAAGGTAGTTCTGGCAGTCGAGATCTCGTCAATAGGGCCATCGGCTGCAATGGGCGGTCCACGACTTCGGGATTGTCCAAACTCATAATGGTTACGTATAGTTCCCCGGGAACTCCACTTACTGACCACAGCGCTGGCTTTGTCTTCATATCATAAGCCTCCTTCTTCGAGTCTACAGCAAGCAGAGCATTTCGCATTGCGGGTAGTTGTCTTGTGTAGGTTGGAAGCAAATGCTTATCAAGATAATTGCTAGCAACCAAGTTCAAGCAAGTCTCAAAGGCAGCTGAGCATTTTGCAACCTGCTTCGTAGATGCTGGACGACCTGTTGATCCTCGAATGGGTGATTCCTCGGGCATGATGACCTCGCCAACAAACATCTTGTTCTGGGCCGTGATGACATACTCAGCTTGAAGGTTTGTCTCATGGCTGTGGGGAAGAGAATCAACAAAGTTCGCGAGAACACTAAGACCAATCTTGTAAGTAAGCTTCGCGCCGGTCTCTGGATTGATATACACGCGATGGCTCTTTTCTTCAGACAGAAAATGGTCCATATTGTAGTCATTGCCGGTGAGTTTTCGATTCTCGGGAAGTTCATTGCAGAATTTCTTGAGGATGCCCTCATTCAGCCTAGCCTCACGAATAAGTTGATGATGGACCTGGTTACCACTCTCTGCCATATGAATGTATCGAGAGTTTGCATGTCGTGCACGACCTCTCGACTGAATGTATTGGATTGTGGTGTCGTATAGATCAAATCGGATGACGAGATTACAATCTGGAACATCAAGACCTTCTTCCGCAACAGATGTAGCAAACAGACAATTGGTTGTGCCTTTGCGGAAGTTCATCATGGTGACGACCTGCTCTCTGACTGAGGTATGTAAATCTGCAGCATCACCCGTTCTCGTACCGACCAAGCTTGCAACAAACAAATGTGGAGTTTTCATAGTCGGGTGAGAGAACAAAGTGGTCAGTAGTCGAGCAGTGTACCTCTGCTTTACAAATACAATGCATTTGTCTTCGGTTGGGCGTTCATACCGTTCCTTCAAGTACTTTGCAAGGAGAACGACCTTGGAAGAAAGGTTCTTCGAAGAAAGTGTTGCAAGGTCGAAATCTGGTGGCTCAAAGGGGTGTAACTTGATGATGTCCAGTGCTTCTTGAAGCTGCGACTTTTGCTGCTCTAAGATCGCTATTGGACCTGGGACTTTCTTCGCATGGTATTGACGTTCTGTCTTTCCCAGAAGTCTATTACTCTCTTCGCCAGCAAGACAAAACTTGAATATGTGATCGGCACACCAAGATCCCAACTCTCGAGAAGCTATTTTGTAAGAGTACTCGAGGGGTTTTCGGAGAATCGCGTTGCCTTTGAATCGTTGACGCATTTTGTCATATAGTGGTGTCATGAAGCTTGATCCCAGTAGTCCGTACGTAGCCAACTGCTCTAGTTTCGAAGTGGCAGCGTACTGCGACAAACTTGTGTCTGCGGCGGTGGCAATCTCCGCGTGAAGCATGGTCTCCAATTCAGCAGCAGCCTTTTTAACGTCAACACGAGCATCAACAGGCGAAGCTGTCATGCCAAATATCTTGGGCAGAACAGCAGACTTTGGGGCCGTCGCATAAAAGTCCTTGATAATTCGGGCGTAAGCATGGTCCTTCTTAGCATGGTGAGCTTCATCGAAAATGAGAAGGTTTATCTGCTCTATGGAAATGAAAGAGTGGTGAAGACACTGACGGAGAACTTCAGCGGTGCAGACAATGACCATATTCTCATTAAAATGCTTCTCCCAAAGCTTCTTACTCCAAAGGTCGCAGCCCATTTCTCCGCAGAACATGTTCATAGGCTGGTCAAGATTGACATTGAGTACTGCATGTTGCTGGAATACCAAGGTCACCGAATCAACCTTGTACAGTAAGCTTTATTGAAGATGTTGGGACTGAGATAGCTTACAAGAAAGAACGAGATCCGCTTTGGCTTACCCAAGGCCCTATCCTCCAATTCTTGGTTGAATATGTTTCGGAGTAAAAGAACGGCAATCAATGTTTTACCAGAACCTGTAGAGTATTAGTGGATGAAGTGTAGCAACAGAAGGCAATACCGACCTGTATCTAGAACAGCAATGATGTTCTTCTCTTTGGCTCGCTCAAAGAGTTCAATCTGATATTCTCGTGGAGTTGAAATAATTCGTTGACTCTCCGCTTGATGAACGATGTATCGAGTAGACTGATTGGCTTCATCTTGTGGGAGTAGTTTGTGATTTTTGACAGGATCTTGAAGAGCGTCTCGCAAGTAGCTATCAGCGATGGCATTCTGCCGACGCTTTCTCTCTGTGATCTTGCGGGATCTGCCCTTGGGTTGGTCATCTTCATCTTCATCATCGTCTGGATCTTCGGCAGGGGCTTCGTCATCGTCTCTATCGTCTCGAGTAGGGGCCGACCGTCCATTCGAAGAAATTGATGAAAGTGATGGCAGCGGTCCAATGGATACCAACTTGCTAGTTGGTAGATGCAATGAAAGGGGGTTGTGGTGCTTTTGTCTGAGCTCAGCGATCACAGCCTTTGTACTTCTTGCTGTTAGGGCTGTAAGCTGAGGGAGAGATTCCTTCGCTGGGACAACTATAGAATCTTCATTGCTAATCAACAATGGGACATCTGAGCTCCCTTGCAACTCTTCTTGGTTGGCCAACATCCTTGATATCTGCTCATCACTACTACTGCCAAGCTGCTGTTGTACTAATTCATGGTCTACTGCGTGATATCCATGCATCTTCGCGGATCTGTCTTTTCCAGACGGGTGGACTGTCACTTGAAAGAGAGGGGGTGTGGGCAGCGTGGAGTTTGTCGACTCTTGAAGTGGAGTGAATGCTGGGAGTGGAGATGTCTTTACTGCTGGTATGGCCCCTGGAGATGAGAGAGGATCGTTCTCTTTTCTGAGGAATGGTCGAGCGAGTCCTGTTGTTTGTTGAGGAGTGCGTGGTGAAGCAGCTTGACTAATGGTAGGGTTCAACCAGCTGCTGACGTCAACAAGACTCTTGGTCGTTGTTGGTGCTAGATTTGAAGTGGAGGAAGACTTGGTAGTTGAAGATAGTGAGAAGATATAAGGATTGTTCTCTGTGCTCTTGATATTCGATGTTGGCGGAGTGAATTCAGATCGAAGGAACTCAGCCTTCTCGTCAGCCTTGTGAGCAGCCTCGCGGTTGTTGAATATGGATGTATTGTCTAGGAGCATCATATCACTCAGCGTGCCTGCAGTGAGACTTGGAGAACATGATGCTTTTGCTTCTGGACTGTGAACGATCAGTGCTGTTTTCTTTGGCGGCGATACAAGCAAACAATCCTCCCCAGCCAGCAAGCTGAGATCATGCAGATACCCGCTAAGAGGCATATTGGAGAGAGAAACGCAATGAACAAGGGGGAGGGGGAATTGGGGTATAGATTGTACGTTGCTTGTATTCAGAATCCATCCGGGAGAGAAATTCACGGTGTTTTGGTCACATAATGAAGTGTGAAGGTGTTGGTGGTGGGTGTTGGTGGTGGTGTTGATGTTGATGTTGATTTTGAAGGAAGGCTGAAAGATGTCCGTTGTTCGGAAGAGCGAGGCAAAAGAAAAAGGTCACAGCTTCCCCCCACCAAAACTCCCCCCATCTCCATCCCACCAACCACCACAGACTACCCCCACCACGACTCTATACTTCCTTCCTTGCCTTCCAATATGGCCGAACAAAGCATCAAGTCGCTTTTCAGCTCTGCAGAGCGCCAAAGAAAGGATATCGAGGCATCGTGGGACAGCAACACCGCAGAATATCAGCAGAACCTCGCCGCCGCCATCAAGTCCTACGACGATTGCCTCAAGCTTACAGACCGGCTGTCTCTCTTCAGCCCGAACGAAACCCTTGAGGATGTGACATCTGGGGATCTCCAGTGGGTGTTCCGTCGTAGCTTGTGACTTTGGTGATGCTCTGCTAACATCTCTTAAGGTACCTGCAAATCAACTATCGCCTCGCCGAGCTCATCCTCCGAGTCTCAAGTACAGACCGGAAAGGCACCATCCAAACCGCCAGAGATGCCTACGAAAGATACTTAAGCTTGCTAGACCACTACGAAATTCTCACACCCGCAGACAAGAAGCTCTACAACACCTACACCGAAGCCCCCGCCTCCTTCTCCACCATCTCAACCGCAGATCCAAACGCCCGGCGGAATGCCAAAATCTCAAACTTCAAGCAAGAAAAGGAGTTGAAGAAGAAGATTGAGGTATGCTTCGCATGTTCTGGGTCAGGCCAGTCTTAACAATCAAATAGTTCCTAGCGCAAAACCCCGCGTACCTCCAAAACGACGACGATGCTGTCCGAGAGCTCCAACTCGCCAACCTCGCCAGCTGCACACACAACACCTTTCAGCAACTCGAATCCCTGAATCGCGAGCTTGAAGTCTTAGCCATGGCACCACCTACCCCTCCTCCAGGCCCCGAAAGCTTAGAAGCAGACTTCAGAGAACGGATGGGGATACGTGACAGGGACGACTACTCGGACCGTTTAGATCGCCGAGATATGCTCTCGGCGAGTAATAAAGGGCCGATATTGAGCACACAGGGAAAACCATTGCGGCCGTTTACGCTAGTGGGCGACAGACAACAGGTAAAGGATGGTGTGTTTAGATCTGGGCACAACTTGCCGACAATGTCGATTGATGAGTATTTGGAAGAGGAGCGCGCAAGAGGGGGTATCATCGAGGGAGGTGGGGAGGCTAGTGGGTTGAGCCCGGAGCTGGATGAGGATAATTATGAAAAGGGGGACGCAGAAATTATGAAGGCGAGGGAGTGGGATGAGTATGTTGAGTCCAATCCAAAGTACGTCCCTAAATCCTAAGAGTTTGACTGATTTGCTGATTACTGACCAACACAGGGGATCTGGGAACACTCTAAATAGAGGATAGTGAAATGAAGTGATACCCAATGCCTCAGAGTCTTTATGCTACTAGAATATAGATTACTCTTAAGTCATTTAACCTTGGTTTATAATACGGGTCCTAACCTACTATATTAAGATATGGAAGTAGTAGTAATATACTCTTAGTAGCATATCTATAAAGGTCTTATAGGCCTAGTCTGGACTATGAATAAAATCAATAAATAAACAAACAAGTACCGAAAACCGAAACTCCCTTGCTCACAATATGCTCCCTTACAACATTTTTGTATTGCTAATATGTGAGGTTTTAAACTATTGATATACAGTTCGATTCTATAGCGCGTTTTGAAATACTTCGAATGATTTCTTCTGAAAGCTGCAGTTTCTTGAACTTAGCGAAGAGTCTTAATATTCGGACCTGGTTTTTGATCTCCCTGCCATTCAATTGCAAGTCCAGACGCAAGCGTTGTGCGATTGCAGCATCCCAGGCTCGAGGCAGAAATGCCTTCCAGATGCAGGCTCGGGTCTCCGGACTGTGATTTTTGAACGGCACACGCAGGTGGATTCGGGATTTGAATGCGGGGTCGGAGTGTTCAACACAATTCGAGGTGAGGAACATGATACCCTGAAAGTATGGAACACCAGGGGGATATTGAAAGTGCGGGAACACGAGATGGCTAGCAGTAGCGGCAGCCTAGGAGCCGGATTTCATTTAAAGATCAAACAAAGCACTCCTTTTTACGCCTAAGTATATAGTTGTAGATAGGAGCCAGACTGTCTAGTAGAGGAGGTTGCGGGTCACCGCAAGGCAGTCTAGGTTACTCCTATCGAGTGATCCATTCTTCGAAGATTCTTTGAACCCCTTGCCAATCTCCTTCCTTTGTACCTGCTTTCTTGCGATCAACAAAGTCCTCAATCCACCCACCGCCGAAATCCACAATCCAAGCATCGAAATTCTTATCAATAACGATATTCCCAGGATGAACATCACCCCACACAATATCATGAGAATGTAGCTCCTTGACCATAGCTGTGACTTGCTGCTTCCACTTTGCATGATGTTCTGAGGCCATCTTGCATTGGCGACTTTGTAAAGATTCGCCGATTGAGGGTATAAAGTCAAACAGCAGGCCGATCGTCATCTTAGCGTCTTTGGATATCACAATACTGTGAAAGTTGGCCACTCTAATTTTACCCTTTAAACCGGCATTAAGGATACGTGAATGCATATCGATTTCTCTAATAATTTGGCTTTTGTCAAGCGCGGGCTTAAAGAACTTGATTGTGCCATCCCCAGTACTGGCCTTTCGGGGTATTTCGGACATATAGTCATAGGTTTCTGTAACCGCAGGGACAATTTGGATATCTGATGCCTTTGAGCAATAGACTTGTGGATATTGTGGAAGGTCTCGAGACGGGATCATAAGAGCGAAAGGATTGATAGTATGACGATCTCGAGTAGCCTTAGCGCAAAGGGAAGACTCTGAAACTATAAGCTTCAAATGATAGGTTGGTGGATAGTAGAACGCTTCGAAAGTGAGATCCTTAGGTACATGTGTTGTATGTTCTCGAAAGTAAGAAAAGCATGGTTCCACAATCCAGCTACACAATGCCTCGTAGTCGTCGTCAGCTCCACCGTCCATATCGTCGACTCTGGCAACAAGTTGTGAGTACTGTAGCTCAAAGCAGCTTCCGCGAAGATCTTTAAGTGATACAGTAATCTGAAATCGCGAGGCTCGACACATGACAGTTATCCATGAGCTTTCGGGATCGAATTGACTGTCCATAACTTGATGGCTGAGACTCTTTGATGAATCCATTGGGGCAAGAGACCTCGCTAGCAGTATTGAAGGAAGCGGCGCTCAGAAAATAGAGTGGAGAGCGATGTTGGAGAGATGTATGGAAGAATTTTGGAACTATATGCCGCAGACAATAATCAGCAAAGAACTTTATGAAGGCAGATATTGATTCAGATAATATACCTAAGAGGGGCCTTTATATGCTTTTAGACGGGTTCGAACGAGTATTACAACTCGTTTGTAAGTGATCGTGTAGTTATTAAATGGTGAGTCACTTGGTAGGACGGTCGCGAATGAATCGGCGGTTGATACCTCAGGCAGGGCAGAAATGAGTAGTTGCCTAGCGTTAGTATAAGCCTTCTCACCACTTTCGACACGAACTCAAACGGCGTACCATGACCCCATAATTAGAAACATAACCGCCCAATGCGAACCACTACCCCACAATATGCGCCCAAAGCCCGAACGGCCCACTTTTCAAACGGGCGCTTTCTAACCAGCGCTTGCTGCGACTGCCCTCTCCTTAAAGGAAGCGTTTGGCGGTTAAAGCTATAGTGATTTCGGGGCGTGAGCCTTCTAGGTGAGCGCTTTCATACAAGGAGAGCGCTTCCACACAAGGAGAGCGCTTCCACAAGGAGAGCGCTTCCGCAGGAGACGCTGTCCTACATCAAACAAAGAATGACCAGTGTTATATTCTTGGATTTTAGTTTTGCGCGACCCACTGTTTCTAGACCAGCTACCCAGTTATTTTCACTCATAGCTATGAACTTTGGCCAGCCTGTCGGGCTACCAGCGAGAAGCTTAATCATAGTAAGCTTAATAGTGTGGCAATTGGTATTTCTGCAGGACTTCGGGTCCATTAATGCAATAAAGATTTTTGAAGAATTTGAGTGCCTATAGTTACGACCATCTCGGGGAAGGCAAAGTGTAATGGTGTAAATTCTCTAGAAAATTCCCATGCTGATGGATCTGGTTCGGTTGCTAGTTCGGCTTCTAATCCGGTTGATGATTCTATACTTGTCTAATATCAGCGTTCAAAACGCCAACCATATAACCTTAACTGCAGCCCCTCCTTAAAACAGATGCTGGACATGGCGGCTATAGATTTGATATGTTGGCATCTAAAGGCCTCCTCCCCTTCCTGCTATGTCGACTGGGTCTATAAATTAAGGAAGTTTCCCTCTTACGGATCATCAGCCTCAACTTGATATCCTCGCTCAGCAACTACAGACCTGCACTGAACTCTTTCGATTGTACCAAGCCTCTCTTCTTTCTCTCTATAACGTTTTTATCGTCGTCAAGTTAACTCGACTTCTCAAATTCAACACCAAGATTCTTTTTACGCCACTTTACTACGATAAAGCTTGCTACTCTTTGCCGCAGCCTTAGCTACCGGCTTGACGATATCCTCTTCTCTTATTCGTACCGTCTACTATATATTGCCATTATCAAATAATGTGCACCCAAAGAAAGAAGCATTGCGTTTGCGGTCATACCAAACGTGTTGGAGGCGTACGGCTTTGTGACAATGCCCCTTATGTCAACGGCAGGAGAGTCCCATGCGACATTCGTACCACATTCACTTCTGGGAGCACCGATCTCTGTGACAACGCGCGGACCTGTCGAATGACCCAAATGCATGGGCGTTGGACATGCTGCCAGTGCCGGACTCGAAATGAGATGCAATTCTGGTGCGATAATGATGAGTGTAATCATGGATTTTGCCGAAACTGCACAGCAACCCCGCAACGGCGCCGCCGTTGAAAGTCTAGTATTCCATATCGTTAGCGTATGCATTACGATTAAGCGTATTCCAGTACAGAACTAGAGGAGCAGAAAAAGAGGAGGTAGTAGGATTATATTCTAGGACAATAAGACATCTTAGAATAGGTAGAAGTTTTAGTTAAATCTGTTTAGACTTAAGTTGTTTTATATCATTCGTTTTTGAAAATACTATAGTATTCTGTTAGTTAAAGCTCACTTTTTTGATTTGCTTCTTTTTTATTATCGTGATTATTAGTAATAGTTTTACAAGGTCCTGTATTAATGCGGACGTGTGGAGGCTCTACAGACATATGAAGGGCTCCGCGGGAGTGTAGAGCGATCTTCGCCGGCTTTATCATATACGAGTCTTTATCTATCTTATCTCATTCACCACGCCAGTCGGTTTTCACCAGATCGAGTTGTTAAGAGGAAGTATAAAGTGAAAGAAAATTCATCCACATTTAGCATTCCAACCCTCCTTTTGATCAAAACGCTCTAAGTGTAATCCCTGAAGACCACAGGCCAGCTAGAAGTGCCCTAATATTATGCCTTTAGTCCTTTACTATTAGCAGTATTGATATGGTCTGCAAATGTGTTCAATTGCGCCGAACTAAATCTCCAAAGCCCACGGCTAGTCGGCATTTTCATACTGACCGATAATTGGCCCCGAGGTAGAGAAGGCCAAGATCCTTATATTTCTACCACGAGTGATCTGGAGCAAGCTCAGAGCCACGCCAAGAGCAAGGTCGATGGCGGCGACGACGCTGCATAAGTCCCCCCCTCTCCCATTTCGGCCACCTCGCTTAGCTACTACCTTACTACTTTATAACCTTATAACTTTTTTATTCCTCTACTTCTATATAATCGCCTGTACTAGTAGATTCTATAGACGAATTAGAATCTTCCTCTTTAATTTCCCGGTCCTCTACTTTAATTTAAGCCTTCTTAATAGCCTAAATATCTATAAACTTTAAATTTAGACTAGTCTTTACTTAATATCTTTTTCGCAGCTTTAATTACTTTACTCTAGCTTCTAATTGCTTAATTTAGAGGTTTACTTATATTAAATCATAATCCTTTTTATCTTAACTTTTAGTTATCTTTCTAAATAGCTGCTAGCAGATTAGAAGATTAGTTTTATATAATTAAATAAGTATATTAGCTTATAATTATATATCTTTTAATATCTTAAAAGTTTCTTATAAAACCTATAATATACTCTTATTTTAGTTAAGTTCTATTTCTTTTCCTATATCCTCTAAAGTTGCTAGTAATAAGATATTACTATTTTCTAATAGTAAATAGCTTATAAGAGGCTTTATTATATTAGAAAGCTATAAACTAATAGCGTTTTACTCTATTTTAATATTCTAAGGGATTAGACTTCTTTTTTAGGCCTTTTTATAATAATATAAGAAGTTTTGTTAGAATATACAATCCGCTCTAGGATCCGCTCTAGGATCCGCTCTAGGATCCTCGCTAACCTTTCTAGTCATGTGATCTAGCTCATATAATTTAGCGTAGCTTAGTCAGCGAAGAGGCATAACCTCTTTGTATTTATAATATTATCTAAATACTAAGCATCAATCAACTAGTATCAAGTCTATACTATATAGTAGAGAAGTGATTACGTTTTATATATTATCATCTGTAATACTAATAGTTTCTATTAAATAAAATATTGTCACAATTACACTCAGACAGGCTAGAACCAGACGTGCGAATATAACTTAGAATATAAAGTAGGGAGCTAAGTATAGTGGAGGCTAATAGAGTTTAATATAGAAGCTGCTTAGTTAGCCCTATTATATAACTAGTCACGTAGGGTTAGGGTTAGGGTTAGGGTTAGGGTTAGGGTTAGGGTTAGGGTTAGGGTTAGG